ACAGCTCGGATAAATGCCTGACCAGAGCAATGTATACAATGCAGTGTAACCTGTGTTTTTCCCTCCCAGAGGCCAAATCAATCTGAGCGTGTGTCTCTGGAGTGGCACTCATGGGCGGAGACCTTTTTGGCTCTGGCTCGTTGATAACGCAGCACAGACTTCTTTAAGCTAATGACTGCTTTCACAGTTTGAGCAGTTTTCTCTGTGGAGTTTAGTCTTCTGCCAAAAAAGCCAACTTTAACTTATGCAGACTTCGGTTATTCCCAGTGAAACGGCCCGGGAGTTACTGAGCACACTGAGCCCCCCCGACATCTTTAATGAGGTGCGGTCCACCGAGCGACAGACAATCAGAGAGCCCGCCTGCCTGCCGCCGCCACGGGCTTGCTTTCCTCTCTGGGAAGTGTTTGCCAGTGGCGCCGGTACCCTCTGACTCCCTGTGGAGAAAGTAGACCAAAGCCCTCCCAAAAGTCTGATCCCACCTCGGAGCATCACCACTGCTGGACGCAGCTGAAGGTAGGGGGTCCATCTCTCATTTAAAAGCTTTTGGCTCAGTTCACAGGCTCCCGCTGACGGGCTAAAAACCACCGCACCCCCATTTTTCTTCTGGCTGTGAAACCAGCCCGGCCTTCCCAGTGTCTGTTGATGCTGGTGGGTTTAAATAGAAAGTTATCCACATACTCCAAACTGACGCCGTCTGATCAGAGGGTAATGGCACTGAGATGCACTGATGCTGTACGCTCTGCAGCCCTACCTCTACACCTGAGGGGGTGTGGTTAAAGGCATGACGAGGTCAGCACAGAAGGGAGAGACTTGTCATGCTCTCTCGGCTGTTGTTGTTATTGAGTCATTTAAAATGAAAATAGTTGGTATCTGTGACTCTGCTCCGTTTTTGGTTTTATGTGGAAGGATGTTCTCTGTGAGTCGGTTCTCTGACTCTGCTTTTCTCACCTGTGGAGGGTTCCTGCAGGGTTCAGTGCTGGGTCCAGTTGTATTGTTTTTCTTTTTCTGGAATTTCTTTTAATGTCTATGCCATGACACTGTGCTGTGCATGTTTTTAAGCCTCAGCAGACGGGTAGGCTGCCCACTCTGGTTGAATGTTTGTTTTGGATTGATGATTAATAATTTCCTTCTTTTAAACTCTGTAAACTGAGCCCATGATTGTCGCTCCTCCTGATGTACTATGTAAGAATCAGTCAGGTGATTGCTTCCTTCCTGCACAGTGTTCATAAACATCATGTAGTATTTGATTCGTCTTTGAACTTTGACTCTGTAAACCTTATGTCACCTTCCTGTTTATTTACAGAATAAATGTAAGCTATAGGGGGTGTCCAAATTCATGGGCTGCATCCTCCTGAGGCCGCATTTGTAGGCCGATTTCGTCACAGCGACGCAACAAAGGCTGTATCCCAATTCAGGGTCTGCAGCCTTAAAGTACGCAGCCTTAACGGTCCACAAGGGCCGCATACTTAAAGACCGCTAAGGCCGGAAGTGCGAGGCTTGTGAAATGGGACGGTCTAGCCTTCGTTGCGCTGCCCAGGTTGCCTAGCAACCATGATGCTAACAGCTGGAAACGTTTTATACAGCTTTGTTTGACAGAAATGAAGGAGAGAATCTTTTGTTCATTTGTTTGTTTGTTTCTACATGAGCTTTGATCATTCTCTGTAAGATTAAGGTCAGCTATTGAACGGCGTATATTTTAAAGCAGCGGTTCCCAACCCCCGGGCCTCGGACCAGTACCGGTCCGTGAGTCGTTTGGTACCGGGCCGCGAGAGTTGAGGCTTAGGTGTGAAATGTATAGTTTTCAGGGTTTTTATTGTTTTTCAGCGTTATTTTTGTTATCGTTTTTATCGTTTACTCGGTTTTCCTGGGTCTTTTCACCCGTGTTATGAATAAATATTCTTTTTTTCGGTACCGGTACTAGTTTTATTTTGTTGTATTTATCCGCGACACCTTAAAGGCCGGTCTATGAAAATATTGTCGGGCATAAACCGGTCCGTGGCGCAAAAAAGGTTAGGGACCGCTGTTTTAGAGTAAGGCTTTAAAACCAAGTTAGTACAAACGTCACCAATGTCACATAACTTTGCTGACATGTGGCCAACAGGAATGTTGTAATGTTCTTCGTTATTAAACATTTGCACATAAATAAGTGACATAATATTCAGTACTTACTTAAGGTTTACTCTTCGGGCGCCCCTCATCCACAGTTTGTTTTTTTTTTTTTTTTTTTCGGCAAAATTATCCACACCCACCACGCTGCTATGCATTCTGGGATATGTTGGGCCACGAAGTCTACACCGCCACGCCCTTAAAATTCAGGGAAATGAAGGACTCATTTGAGGGCCGCATTTCGAGCAGCCTTTGAGTTGGGACAGCCTTCATTTCGTCACTGTGATGCAATTGGCCTCAAAATGTGGCCTTTAAGGCCGCAGACCCTGAATTGGGATACAGCCAAAGGCTGTCCAAATTCGTAGACTCAGATCGGTACCACGCATGCGCAAATCTTACGTCACTTCCTCTCTTTGCCAACACTGCAACAGTTAATGTTTTTGAATGACACGGTTAGCTCCCAGTTAGCTCCTAGCATTTCTCAACAGCTCTACCTCCTTTTTGACTGCCCGGGACATTTAAACAATGGACAATCCGTATACAATGATGTGATGCCCAGCCTTCCTAGTCTTCATCTTTCAGTGTGTAGCATGCTCTCTCTCTTTTTAAACCCAGGCAGAAAAAAATTTGTTTTGTCTCTGAAGCCCTAAAAGTGCTACGACCAAATTAGCGTGCTCAGAGTGTTCTCTCCGGCACTTTGAAGATCCACGCCTCCTCTCCAGGGACCACGTCTCCTCCCCGGAGAGGCTCAGCATGTTCTCTAATAAGCCTCACTCGCCTCACAGCTCCTGCCTCATTTGATGACTCGGTAAACTGCAAAGCTTTAAATGGAGTTTGAAGAGCAGGCTTCAGGAGCCGTTCCCCAGAGGTGACAGGTTTCCGCTCTTGTTGTGTGAAAGCTCAACTTTGCCATTGCCCCAGAAGTTAATCTGACAGATCTGAGCACGATCGATTCTGGTTGAGAAAATCTTTTATCAGCTGATTTGTCCCGTGCGCTCGCCACAGAGAGGAGCGTGACTTGAACCTGCTCATGTGCAAACATTTTCAGGCAAATGCTTTGACGTCTTGTCAGCGGGCCGCTTGTTTTGTACGAGCGCGGTCGGCCATCGCCCTTTATGCCCATCTCCACGGCAACAGGTGAAGGCACTTAAGGTCCCCGGTGACTTCAGTGTCACGGTCGGCGCTTCCACCAACACGTGAGAACAAACTCCACATGGTGGGAGGCTCTCCCGCTGCCTCCTCGGTTTGCTGTCTTCCCCTCTGGCTATTGCTACTCTCCGACCTCACTTCATCTCTCAGCCGTCACTTCTCCTTTTTCAGCACCAACTTTACGTTGCCCATGATTTAAAAATTAATGGGCAACAGACTCGCTATCAGGAAAGATGAGGACACTCTTCTTTAATCATTGAAAACAAAAGGTCTGGCAGTCAAGCGTTCACTGAGATCCAATGCTCACTAGGTATGACAAATGTTCACCTGAGCAGCCACACCATGACCCAGCAGGTTTGAAACTGCTCATTAAACACACCTTCTCTTCTCATTTCCAGCTCTGTGGTAATAATCAGTCTGTTAGATAAGCTTTGCATGATTCACAGTTGAGAATAATCCTCCTTTGTCTGACATGTTTGCTGGTCCAGGTGTGTTAGGAACATCTCCTGTGTGACATCATCACTGCGCAGTCTGACCTTTGGCCTCACAGTCGTTCATGAATAAAAGTGTTTTGGAAATCCCACAGAGGGTTTGGTGTGCAGAGGAAAATTACCTTTTAGAGAACCGTGGATTGTTTCCTGTAGAAGCACTGAGCTCATTAGAAATGTTTGAGGTCATGTTCCACTTTAAAGATGATGTTGTTCACTAGGGCTGCACGATTAATCGTTAGAAAATCCCGATCTCGATTCATATTTATGTGCGATCTCATTTCCAAATGACAACGATTTTTAAAGGGGAAAAAAAAAAAAAGATGACGATTGTACCGCATTTTGATCCGGGACATAATCTGCATGAAAACAAGCGCTCACGCTTCCTGCTCAACAAATGACAAGGGCGGAGCCTTATACCACGTGATACAGAAGCCATCTGGCAGGGGAAAAACAACGGAGAGCACGTGAAACTGCCCGAGGGGAGAAAACACAATGAGCGCAGAAGAAACGTTTCCTGATGGCGGTGAGAATGACAACCCCACTGTAAAATTATTTCCAAGAAAAGGTTCTCATTCCTCCGTGTGGAAGTTTTTTGCCTTCAAAGAAGACGATGAGAGTCAAAAAAATATCATTTGCAAGCTGTGTTTTGCCATAGTAGCAGCACCGCAAGGTAACACTACAAATCTGTATAACCACCTCAAACGTCACCATAAAGTGCAATATAACGAAGCTGTAAAGGCCAAGAAAGTGACAGGAGAAAATCCGTCCCCGTCAACCACCCAAACATTAATAACGGGAATGTTATACAGCGCTTCCCCATACCCGTCGACCTCCCGCAGGCACAAAGAAATTACGGAGGCTATCACTTATCACCTGACCAAAGATATGGCTCCCATCAACACTGTGCAAAACGAGGGATTTAGGAGAATGATCAACATCCTAGACAAACGCTACACAGTGCCGTTCCGCAACTATTTTAAAAATGTTGCACTACCTGCTCTATACACGCAGTGTCGAGCAACGGTGGAGACGGAATTACAAGCAGTACGTTTTGCGGCAACAACAAAATGTGAGACATTTATTGTTTTTATGTTCTGTCTCAACTGTTACAAAGTTGATGTGCGGTTAATAAGTGCAAGAAATATTTATATTGGAAAAGAAAATCGTGAGGGAATCGTGATCTCAATTCTAAGCAAAAAAAATCGTGCAGCCCTATTGTTCACTGTGTCCTTCTTTCCTCCTCTCGTATCCCAGGTGCCCTCGCCATCCTGATCCCAGAGCTGGACCTCGTCATCTCGTTGGTGGGCTCGGTCAGCAGCAGCTTCCTGGCGCTCATCTTCCCACCCCTGCTGCAGCTCATCGTTTTCTACGGCGAGGGCCTGTCGCTGCCGGTGAAAGTCAAGAACCTCGTCATCAGCCTGGTGGGGCTGATCGGCTTCGTCACGGGGACCTACATTGCCATCGTGGAGATCGTTGCCCGCAACGGACACAAGCGCGACGAGACGCCATCCACCTTCTTGGTTCAGTGATGAAGTGGCGTGACTCCCGGCGGGTGGATGGAGGCCTACTCGGGCCATTTGAAACCATTTTAGTGCACATTTGAACTTTTATCTCATTTTATCTGCTGCTGTTGGACATCACAGCTGTTTCAGGATAAATCTGTGACATGTCTACGATTAAGGACCATGGAGAACCTGTGGTGCTCGATGTTTCACTGCTGTGTCATGTTCTGTTTGTACCTGACAGTCACGTCTTATCAAGTCCATCCTTTTAGTGCAATCTAACAGATTAATGATGATGGAGAAGGTAGGAGATGGTACGGGGGTTAGAGGTAATTTATTCTTTTGACTGATTATTGTTTGTGGTGTTTTAGTCAAAAAATCAAACTACCTCAGTTTTTAACATCCAATTTGGAGCCTTGTAAAACACCTTCGCTTCACGCAGCCCCCAGTTTAGAAGTAAACATGTTTGTTTAGCACTTTGATTTCTGCCTTATTCACTTTGAATATAGTTTTAAAATCGCTTTAAAAAATTAAAAATCCGCTGTTGCTTGGGTCGAGGGGTCATAGCGGTTCTGATGGGAACGCCTCGAAGTGCCAGGAGATCGTTCGTATCTCATCACAGCAGACTCACCAGGATGACACAGCAGCTGTTAAACAGTACAGCTGCTTTCTTGCTCTCAGCTTTGGGTCAAACTGTGAGCTTTGACAACAAGGTCACAGGTGCAAGAGGCAGAACCTGTGAGGGTCTCGGGATCCTCTGGGAGGAGTGTGGCAGGTGTGCAGGGATTAAAACCCCCTAAAAATGTGCCAGATGTTCTTGTGAATATTACAGCTGCATTAGTGCCCGATGATAGGTTGCTACAAAAAAACGCCATCAGGTTTGAGCTGCATGTATCTAATATAGCAAGTTTTAACTGCGGGCTTGTAGGTGTTGTCGACGCCTCACAGTGAAGCGTCTGTGCTGCCGTGTGTCTTTGTCCGTGTGGCATTAGATAACAGACTTCTGGTTTCCCTTCACCTGTGAAGTCACCTCATGCAGGGCTGGAAGTCGTTCTGTGTGTATATATATCCATCCATCGTAAATGTTTGCACATGTAAATACTCATCTAAACTATAATTTTCCTTTTCTGTTGTAAGTGTCAGGTTGCAGCTGATCAAATGAGTGCATTTCAGCATGAAAACATCAAGAAATGTAAAATATTCCAAACTTCATCCAGCTTGACGGCCTGCATCCTTCATATGTGTGAGACCTTCATTTGCTAAATCACTCATTTCTTTACTCTTTACTTTCTCAGAATAAAGATGTTGAAAGTCCAAGTTCGTGCGTTTCAGTCTCTTCGTATTAGCAGGACGACTCATAAGGATCTGAAAACTCGCCAACTCTTGGAGCCGATCCAGAACTGGGTTCGGAAATTTTTAGAGGGATTTGTTACTGGACGTTTGGCATCACATCCTGACAAATGAGGTAGAAAACGAAGTTGTTCGTAGCACACATGATTAAAACTCTGTTGATGACCCCATAGTAAGAGCATCAGAGTCGGTATGACTGAACATCAGCCCCTAAATATTACCAATGCATGAGTGTGTTTGGAGTTAGCTGTAACTGTAGTTGTCCAAAAAGGGCAGATTATTATCAGCCTCTGCTGCCTATCCACTCAGCAGAATTGAAGTTGAGGCCAGATGGCAACCTTGGAGCTGCCTGTGTGAGCGTTTCTGCCTGGTTCATGTGCTCCGCTCCCCGAGGTGCAAATGCTTTTCAACATGCGCCACAGAAGCAGTCCGAGTAATCCTTCCACCGCCTAATTGACACAAATGAGAGGGAGAGGGGAGGGTCCGCTGGTGCTCGTTTTCCCTGTGAAGCTTGGCCAGAGATGGAATTAAATTAACTGGACTGGGATATTTAGCATGAGCTGCTTCACCCTGCGTTTAGCTTGGCGTGTAGACTGTTCGTGGTCATGAACGTGAGCGCGTTCCTCCAATGAGTCCACGGCACAGGTTTCTGTTGGGCATGTTTCCTGCCATCAAAGCTACCATGGATGGACATGACTGTGCTTAAAGGGGGTCCTGATCCATTATTTTAAGTAAGGCTAATCAGACTATCTGTCGATGTTCTTGTTTTTGTGCTACTTGTTGTATAAAAATGAAAAAAGGCATTTTTATTTAGCCGGACTGAATGAAAAAACACAATTAGGTGACTTTCTGCCACCAGTTCAGCCCAAAGGGACCACGTTCCTTATTTCCTTTTGCAAACAGCTGGTAATTAAAAGCCACAACTGCTGACACAGCAACTTTCACCTCCCACTGCTTCACTTCGATTTGCAGAACTTGTCTTGTGTTTGTGTGCAGCAGTAAAGCTTAAAGCTGAACCTCACCTAAGTGGCATGCAGACACTAACATGCAGTGTTGGTAAAACTCACAGCTTTTCTTCAACACTCTGGAGACTAAAGATATGCTTGTTTAACCAGAGTGTTTGAATGATCACAGGTAAGATGGCAGTCTGAGCCACCACTCTGTGTCAACATGTGTTATTAACACGAAGTAGAGATGTCTGTCTTCTTTCCCCTCACTTTCAGATACTGTTCTGTGTAGATAGTTTTTAGACCTCACACTTTGGTCCAGTTTTGTAAGATTTTTAAGGACACATTGCACCATGCTGAGATGTGCCAAAGTTTCAGCCAACAGCCATTTGGTAATCACCTTGTTGGGCAAAAATACTATTCATGTCAAATTATGTTGGCTTTGGTATTTTTCATAGATTCATCTAGAGAACCGGGGACAAACAATTTAAAGTACAGTTTATTATTCAAAATAAAAACAAGATATTGTACATATACATTTATTACTGTGTAATTATATCTTTATTAATGCATACTCATAAAGCTGCTATGTTTCCCCACCATATTTAAATATGATGGTCAGTGAGGACTTCTGCCTTTGCACTAATGGTCTTTCACAGATCAGCCACATACTTGAAACACCAAAGGTGGAGGAGAATAACTGCAAGCGGCCATTTGCCCTGGAGGGACATTTAAAGTCATGTCTGCAGCTTCAGACTCAAGATGTGAACGATCATCCTTGTGTTTTAATATCTGACAAGGGCTCATCCCCCTTTTCAGATATTATGTGATCTCTCAAATGAGAGATCACATCTTTCCTTCATCCTGGGGCATAACTGGTTTCCTAAACCTGACCGAACTCTCCTGGTGTGAATGCTTGGGGGGGGGGGGGGGGTTGTTGTTTTTTTTTCTCATTTGGCTCTTGGCGAAGGCGGTTGCACTTTTCTCCTCTCCTCCTCTCCCTTATCTTCCCTGCTTAGCCTCTTATTTCCTTGTCTAGTCTCGTGTTTTTTGTATTACTTTTCCACTTTTCCCTGGAACACTCTCTCACAGTCTGTTCTCTAAAACCTAAAAGAGAATTATGGATTTGATCAACTGGTACCTGAATGCTATTGACACCCTTTTCTTAACAAGAAGTCTTGGCTCGGGTGAGCCTGAGTGTCTGGGTGGCACTTTCCCTGCCGGATACACGATGGACGGGTGGCAGAAATGGAGAATCGTGTGCCTGCTGTTCAAACCCCCACAAGGCTGCTCGCTGGGATTGAAACAATGGCACGAGGCGTGACTTCTCAGAATGGGTTCATTGAGTGCAGCATGGATAAGATCTTGGAGAAGCTTACGGCTGCTGTGAATACTCAGAATAAGACCTCTGAGCGCAAATTGGATCACATCTTGGAGAAGTTCACTGCGGTCGTGAGTTCTCCGAATCTGCTCTTTGAGCACAAGAATGACAAGACCACGGAGCGTAAGTTTGATAACATCATGGAGAAGCTCGCGGCTCTCCAACGGGAGATTGAGAGTCCAGTGTTGGACTGTTAAGAACAGGTTTGAAATTCTCATGAGTTGTTCGCACTAAAGAAAACCACCATCATAATGCGGCTATCCCTTCGGCGCCAGCTATGGGCTCAAGGCTGGAGCTGAACAAAAACACCCTGATAACGACTGTGTTTAGACTGTTCTTCATGTCCTCAACAGCTCACCTGAGTATGACTGTGATCGGTCAGAGCTCTGACTCATACACTGGTGTGCTTGACTCCTTTCACAGAGTTTTACAGAGTAAATACAGGCAGTGGCTCCACAGCTGAGGTGAACAGCTGACTGACAGCCAGATTAAGCACTCTGGTCTGATGACATTGAGTGACTGTCCCAATGGTGCCATGTTGACGTCCACCTCTGGCTGAGTTCTTCCTCCCACAGTCCACAAACATGCTCATTGTCTGTAGGCGTGAGTGTGATAGCTGTCTGTCTCTGTGACAGGTTGGTACCTGTCCAGGTATAGCTGCCTCTTGCCCTGTGACAGCTAACATGGGCTCCAGCCTAACCTTGACCCTGAAGTGTGTAAGTGTAAGGAGATGCCTGGATGGATAAATTATGGAGGAATCACTGCTGTGTTTGTAATAAATAGATCTAAGAAATATTTCCTGTACAGGATGCGTTGTTTACAGGGTCACGTGTTCTCTGTGTGAGCTCAAGCCGCCGGTCATACATGAGACCTTGATGAGGATCAGGTCCTCGTTACCCAGCCGTCATTCTGTTTCTGATTTATTCAAACCCAGTAAAACTGAACTTGGGCAACATGGCTGTCAGCGAGGTCAGTTTTGATTCAGGGTGTGTGCTGGCATGCAAGGATCCTTCAGCTGCTCGCTGTTCATCAGCAGGCGCCTCTCCTGAGTCCAATAATGATCTAACCTTGTGAAGCTGAGGAGCACTTTCTGCATCGGGGGGTCAGTGCATTAAAATTTAGATCACAGCCGACGGCATCGTGAGAACTTGAATGCTCTATGAGGTAACATGAGAGCTTCGTTAGCCGGCTGAAGCAGGGATGGGGAGAGGGGCCTGATGAAACACGTCATCTCTGTTGTTGGAAACTCGAGTTTCGCTCACATTGCATCAGCTCCAGCTGTGCTCCAGGTGTTTTCAGGTTCTCAGTTTGCTGTGCTTCAGATTTGAATCTAACAGGTGTGGCTGCTGTTTTCGACTCACCTGTGCTGCCGGCATTTATTTCCACTCACACCTCACCCTGTTACTTCCTCCTGCTTATCTCACTTCCTTTTATCTCTCCATCTTCTCTTTGATTTCTTTCCTTCACCTGTCCTCCTGGCGGGGAGGTGATGGCTGATTGCCGTCGTTGCTCACGGCGACAGCTCCTCCAAACTGACAGGTCACCCTTCTGATCTTCCTGTTGCCACAGCAACAGACTTGAGATTACACAGGGTGATGTGGTGATGGGCCGCGTGTTGAAGTGCAGAGAGACAGATAGCTGTCAGTGTGGCTCGACTGAAATCACACAAAGAAATGTGGAGGGAAGTGTTTCCTTTTGGTCTGTCACCACAGCAACAGCAACTTTTTAACTGCTGATGAGTGCTCAGTAACCTGTATGTATTTGACCGGCATCAGCTTTTAAATATTGACCGGTATTTTAAAGCAATTAAAGTTTGGAACCAGCAGATGGATCTGAGGTTGTTCAGACTGCGATCAGTTACTGGCACCAACTCATCGATCAATCACAGAGGTTGTTACCAACTCGATAACTTAGCTATGAGTTATCAGTTGAGATATGATGTGTTCATTTGAAAGAGGCAGAACTTGTAATCAGTCACAAATGTGGACAGGTGTACCAGCAGGAGAGAGAGATTGACTTTATAAGAGAAGAAGAAATAATAAAATGAGTGCGGTGGCTGCAGACAGAGCAGCAGCGTGTGAGGAAACCAGAGTTAAACCTTCATGAACATAACGATAGACCGGATCAGTGTCTCTGTGAGCGTGCTGTTTCTGTGTGAAATAAAGCGAGGAGGCCAGCGGCTCACACTGAAAGTTCTTTTATTAAGACATGGATTTCAGGTGTTGCTTGGTTTCTTTTGTTTCATCGACATTACAAACATTCAGAGGAAACATTCTCCACGGCAATGTGCAAAACAGCGTGAGAAAGGAAAACCAGAACATTGTCATTCAGAGCAACCGGCTGCCGCTCGGCCTTCACATCCATTCTGTTTGTTTAAAACTGATCCAAACACACAAACAACAGCAAGCTTCATTGATTTTTAGCACAAAAAAATAAGAGAAATACGTCTTTAGATGTACACAGCTGCAGGTAATTCAGGTAAAAAAAAAAAAGAAAGCCAATAACTGTGCTTCTTTAAACCCTCAGTGGGCCAATTAAACCTGCCGCTGTCCTCATCGAGCTGCGCTATCTTCCAAACATGAGTATTGATGAATTCCACTTTATTCGTTTATGTCATCTGTGCTTTTTTCTTTTATTCA